TATATATATATATATATATATATATATATATCAGTATTTCTCAGGAATGAAAATTAGTTTCATTTGAAGAGGTAAAAGTGACAGTGCAAATATAAACAGAATGTGGGAGATTACTGGAAAGCATGTCACAGCTTTTCCCCCTGTCAGAATTTGAAAAGATGGATTTGGACAAAAGTGGTTGTTACTAATAATGAACTGAAAAGAGTTAGAATGGGATGTGCTATGTATGAATTGCTTTTAATTAGCCAGCCAAGTTTTCTATCAGGAGCACCTTTCTGTTCCTCTTGTGAAGGAATATATATGCAGAAGGAAGACTGTGTTTCAGACTCTTCTTGATTTCTGAACCCTGTCCAAATAGAACTCCTGCTATATTCTACCCCCTCAATGTAGGTACTTTGGTATGTTTCTTTTCTCTAATTTTTAATTTTAAAACAATGGCAGTCTTACAGAAAAGTTGGAAATAGAGTACAAAGAACTTTTTTCCCTAAATAAGTTGTTGAATTGATGCTGTAGCCTACATTACTTACAAATAGGAACTTTCTCCTACATAATTGGAATACAATTAAAAAATTTGAAAATTAGCATTAATTTCATTATACCTAATTGCTAGACCTTGTTCTTGTTTTGCCAATTGTCCAATGATGTCCTTTATAGCTAAAGGATCCAGTTCAGAATCACATGTTGCATTTAGTTAAATTTCTGCTCTTCTTCTGGAATAGTTTTCTCAGTCTTTCTTTGTGTTTTAGGACATTTTGGAGAAATATAGATCGTTTATTTAATAGAATGTCCCTCAATTTGGGTTTCTCTTATGGTTACATTCAGATCATGCATCATTGGCAGAAGTATCACAAAAGTGATACTACATTCTTTTCATTGTATCTTGTGTGGTGGTTGTCCTGATACTGATGAACGTTCCCTTTGATGACTTTATTAGGGTGTTGCCTACCAGACTTCTCCACCTTGAAGTTACTCTTTTCCCCATTGTAATGAATAAAATTAATCTAATTTCACATCAGATTTTCAGTTCATTTGTTTATTTTCATTTGTGAGGATTTATCTTTCTATATTAATCAATGGGTTATAATCCATTACTATTATTACTTGATGCTTAAGTTGTTAATTACTTAAGGTGAAAGCTCCTCTAAACTGGTTTATATGTCCTTTTAACTTGCCCATTATTCTTGACTACCTCTTTGCTTTCTGGTCCAACAAGATGTTTCAGGCTCACTTTATGTTTTTCCTACTCCATTCTTGGAATCAGGTATTTCTTCATGGACCCCTGGTTGCTTTTAGTGGAGAATGGTATTTATAAAGAAAGATGTGGGTGATAGGTATGCTCATTGCTGTTGGGGTGTCACTGCTCCCAGGCCCTCTCAGTGAACAGAATTAAGGAATATATATGTGTGTGTAGGTATACACACATACATGTACACTGGATTTATTTCCATATCTGTTTATACATATGTTGAAAGTAATGGGCTCACACTGATATTTTCAATCCCAGTCTAACACCTACATTCTAGTTTTCTCCAACAGTGAGAAACCTGGCTTCTGTTATCCTTTGTATATTGACTCATTTGATCAACTCTTTTATACATAACCAATCTTTTATCTCAGTTGCTGTCCTTTTCTTCACATGGATACCCTCTTTTCCCTGTTTGGCTGTGAGTCCATATTTTGCCCTCCTCCCCTGCTCCCATGGACACATGTGGACACTGTCATCATCCTTTTTGGGCTCTGACTCGCCACCCTGGAATGCACTTCTGACTCCAAACCTCAGGCAGTCCTCCTCTTCTTCTGATCGGGCTTTGCCATACTACACTTGGTTGCCCTGCTGTGGGGATATCCTTTTGATTCTAGTTGGTCTGGGATTCTGTATGTCAGGCTACTTCTGCCACCCTTCCCATCCTCCCATACCAGCTCATCTCCCTCCTTCCTACCCCAATATACATGATTGCCCTCCTTACCTCACATGGGCTCTGACATTTTTTCTTAAGGCCCATTATCTGTAGATGCCTCCTCCTTCCAACTCCCTGTTGCTTTGAGACTTAATTGTTCAGGAAGGAAAGATCCCCCTGTTGTCTTCAATTCTAATTCTCCCTGCCCCAAACTCATTTATTACCCATCGCTGATGACTCTACTTCTAATATTTATGTATACCTTTAGCCTTCAGCCTGGATTTTGCCCATTTAGATTCTGATTTTGCCTTCTCCAAATCTCCTTGAGTCTTTTTCTAATTGTTGGTCTTTGAGCTTAAACTTGTGTATATAAATGATAATAAGTCAGTCTTCATTTTCCAGCCCCCACAGTGCTCCATCCTCCTTTCATCTGCTTTACTCCTTCTTCATCCTATCCAGAATTAATCCCTCAGCTGGACTGTCTCTAACCCAATTCTCCATGGCATTTGAAGCTTTAGGAATTGTTGAGATGGTAGCATCACTAAAACAACAGAAAGATTGATATAGGGAGGAAATTGGATTACACAAAGAGGATTATAGTAGTAAATGTTTGACATGAAGTTGATCCATGGTTATACTTAGGGGTAGAATTAAAGAAAGTTAGAATCATATAGGGAGCTCTGGTAGCATAGTGCCTAAGGCACTTGACTGCTAACCAGAAGGCTGGCGGTTCAAACCCACCAGCCACTCCTCGGAAGGAAGATGGGGCAATCCACTTCCGTAGTGGTACTGCCTGGGAAACTGAAGGAGGGGTCACTATGAGTCGGGTCTGACTCGACGGCACATAACAACAACACAACAACAACAGAATCATACATGTTATACAGAACAACTGAACTCAAGGAAGGAGTAGATCACTCAGTCTATTTGTTTCTCACACAGAAGTATTTTTAGAAAGATACTGAATATTATAAAGAATTTAAATTTTTAATAGAGAAAATATGAAAAAGCAAATAATATGTTATATTCTTACGTGGTATTTAAAAGATTTTGTTTTCAAGTGCTTTGATATACTTTAATTTGGTCCTCAAAGCCCTGTAAGGTAGAGAAGGATATTATTATTCCCCATTTTGTGGATGGGAAGTTGAGATGGAGAGACTCTAAATGACTTATCTCTAGTTATTTAGCAAATTACTAGTAGTTTTGGATTCAGAACTCATGTCTCTCAGCTACTTGTCTGATAGTGTTTAAGCTATATTGGCTGTTAATGGTAAAAAGAGATTTGGAGTCAGAACTGAATTTACAGGGTGGCTTTGTCACAGACCAACTGTGAGACCTTGGGTGAATTTTTTTTTTTTTTTCACCTTGCTGAATCCATTTGCACATAGGTTTATTAGAGATGATAATATTTCCTGCTGAGGATTGAATAAAAGGAATTTATTATGTGTATGAAAAATCCATCCTTTTAGGTGGATGATGCCAGAAGTTACTGAGGTAATAAAATATTACACCTATTTTTTACTTATAGACTATCTCATAATAGAATATTTACTGTCCAACTATTTTGTGCTTTAATGACATCCATCTGGCAGTAACGAATGTTGAGGTGTGAGGTGAGAGTAACACTGGTTCTGATGGTTAAGGGCATGTGTCATCTTGGCTGGGCCATGATCCTTAGTGATTTGGCAGTTATGTAATGATGCAGTCTGGCAGTTGTGTGATGATGCAGTCATCCTCCATTTCCATATAATGCCAATTATTACATAACAACCTGGTCTTTGAAACCTAACCATGTTGACAAGTAAGGAATGAAAGTATTAAGCAAATTATATATTTTGAGCTGAATTAAGCTAAAGCAAATAACCTAAACAAACAAACAAATAAGAAAAACCCAAAATCCATTACCATTGAGTTGATTCTGACTTAGAATGACGATGTAGGACAGAATAGAACTGCCTCATAGGGTTTCCAAGGCTGCAGTCTTTATGGAAGCAGACGGCCACATTTTTTCTCCCACAGAGTGGCTGGTGGGTTCAAACCACTGACTTTTGGTTAGCATTTGAGCACTTAACCAGCGTGCAGTCAGGGCTCCTTGCTAGCAAATAATTATATAGAAATAAGGGATGGAATAGATTTTCCTTTACAATATAAGCCATTTGGGAATCCTCAAATGCATGCATACCATGTATGGCAATTATTGTGAGTATGTAGCAGGGAGATTTGACTGTTGTCTTAGGCTGAGTTCTCTAGGGAAGCAGCACCAGTGAAGCTTGTAAATATAAATATATATGTGTGTGTGTGTGTGTGTGTGTATACATATATATTTGTTTGTGTGTACATGCACATACACATACACACAGATTGAGAGAGAAAGAGAATGAGAAATTTATCTCAAGGAAATGACTCACACACTCATGTAGTCATAGAGATTGACAAGTCCTAAGTCATTGGGTCAGCTGGAGGCTTCTCCTCACTTAATACAGCTACAGGGGCAAGATAGACAGGCAGTACAGAAGGCCACTTGTTCAAGTCTAGGAATCAGAGATGATGATGAACCAGATACAGGGTCCAGATCCAGCCGAAAACCAGAGAATTTTCCCAGAACGTCCATGTGTGTATGTGTGTACGTGTGTGTGTGTGTGTGTGTAGGTTGGCTTTCTGTGCTTATTTGCCCCTGTGATCAAATATGGTCTTCCTACAGTTGCTTAATTTTATAATTTCAAGCATAGTCCAAGACTGCCTGGGGACGTCTCTTGGATTCCAGTTCCTAATTCTTGAGAGAAAGAGAGAACCTCATTGCACAGGTTGAGTTTTATGTCCTCTGACCTAATTCTAGTCATATGTGGCCACTATAAACTTAGCTATTCGGTTTCAGTCCCTGGGTGAGTGTGTGAGGGACTGTTCAAAGAGGATGGGGAGGATGGTGAGCTGGGAAGATAGCACAAAAGGCGTTTTACAGAGGGTAAAAGTAGAAGCATGGGCTACTGCCAAAATGTAGGCACTGAATATTGAGGGCTTGAGCTAAGGGTAGGAACAATGTAGAAAAAATTTAAGAAGTGACTTTAAGATCTACTTGGAAATCAAATAAACACATATTGGTACCTGAAGATGTAGGGAAGTTGTGAGAAGGAGTCTACATTTCAGATTTGAATTATTAGGAATATGGAGAAGAAACATTGAGGAGGATTGAGTTTTAGGACAAAGATGCAGAGTTGGTTTGGATACACTGTATTTGTGGTCCTGTGGAGCATTAATGGGAGCTCTGGTAGCATAGTGGCTAAGGCACTTAGCCACCAGAAGGCTGGAGGTTCAAACCCACCAGCCACTCCTTGGAAGGAAGATGGGGCAATCTACTTCTGTAGTGATACTGCCTCGGAAACCCAAGGAGAGGTTGCTATGAGTCGGGTCTGACTTGATGGCACATAACAACAACAACAACATGGAGCATTAATAGGTCTGATAGCATAGTGCCTAAGGCACTTGACTGCTAACCAGAAGGCTGGCATTTCAAATCCACCAGCCACTCCTCGGAAGGAAGATGGGGCAATCTACTTCCATAGTGATACTGCCTCGGAGACCCAAGGAGGGGTCACTATGAGTCGGGTCTGACTCGATGGCATGTAACAACAACAACAGGTTGTGCAAATTGTTTGTGTTCAACATTTAACCTAAAGATTGGTGGTTTTAATCCCCTAGTGGTACTGAGGAAGAAAGACCTGGCAGTCTGCTCCTATAAAGATTACAGCCAGAAACTCCTGTCACACATGGGGTCACTGTGAGCCAGGGGCTTACTCCATGGCACTTAACAACCTCCTCTTGTTTCTTATGAGAATTAAATGAGTTAACATAAACCAAGTATTTAGCACAGTGATTGGCACATAACAAGTGCTAAATGAATGCCAGTTGCAGTTATTCTTTACTGCTGTCATCATGTTTGTCATAAATGCATTTGAGGATTCCCAAATGGTCTACTGTGGAAAGAAATCTAGTGTATCCCTTTTTTCTATTTGATTATTTGCTTTACCTTAATTAAGTTTAAGAAATTATATTTAATATATGTTAGATTCTGTGGAAGAGCTTTGATGGTACAGTGGTTAAGGCATTTGGCTATTAACCAAAAGATTGGCGGTTTGAACCAACCAGCTGCTCCGTAGGAGAAAGATGAGGTGATCTGCTTCTGTAAGGATTTAAGATGCAGCCTTGGAAACCCTTGGGGGCAGTTCTACTCTGTCCTATAGGGTTGCTTTGAGTCGGAATTGACTCTGTGGCAATGGGAGAGTTTAGTTCCTGGGTAGTGTAAATGGTTAATGTTCTTGGCTGCTAATCAGAAGTTTGGAGGTTTGAGTCCACCCAGAGACACCTCAGAAGAAAGGCCTGGTGATCTATTCATGAAAAATCAGCCATTGAAAACTCTGTAGAGCATAATTGCACTCTGACACACACAGTGTTGCTGTCAGTTGGAATTGACTCAACAGCAACTGGTGGTAGATGCTGTGGAGGATTCAGAGATGGGTATGTACAATTTTTGCCTTCAAGACTTAGATGTTTAAAATGGAATAATTTTATCTACAGTGGTTGTTTTTAGCTGTATCTTCTAAATTTTCAAGTTCTGATAGAAGCATACAGGAACAAATTACAATGAAAGAATGATTTTAACATTTCAAAACCTTCTTTGAGCTTTATAAAATATTCTTTGACTTGTGGATTTTTGTTTGTTTATTTCAGCCAGCACCTAACCAAGTCACTTTCCATTTACCACTACATCGTTACTATGCCATGTTTTTGAGTAAGGTAAGATTCCTCATTAAATAATTCTGTGGATTTCTTTTGCCCCCTATATTCAGCATACTTTTTTTTTTTTTGTATATTGGAAAATAAGTATTTAATAAGTAACTTTTTTAACCATGATTTTTAGGCTGTGAAATGTCAAGAACTAGATTTGGATTCTGTTTTACCAGATCAGGAAATGTTAATGAAGCTAATGATTCACCCACTCCAAATTCAGGTGTGTATTCAACTTAAAAAAATTTTTGAATTGAATTTCTTGGTTAAATGATTCTTCCTTTATTTTACTTGCATGTCTTTATCATCATTATAGCCAAAATGTTTGAAAGACTTTTTTTTTTAAAACTGAATCTTCATAGTTTTGCCAGATTTTATATATATATATATATTGTAATTTGGGTGAAGATTTACAGAGCAAATATATTTAGATATATTTTTGTTCCATGAACTTTACTTTTAGTTTTAGTTTCCCCAGAAATTCTTTTCACTGTCTTTACTGATGGGGGAGTTTTAATATACTACAGCACTGTTATGGGAGATAGGTGACCCAACAGGTTTTAGTCTTAGTGCTACTACTATTTTATCACATTTGTGTATTGGAGTAAATCACTCCTTTGATTCTCAGTTTCCCCACCTGCAAAATGAGAGAAGGAGATGAGAAGAATTAGCCTGTGTAAGCTCTCTGGTTTCTTTCAGGTTTAATATAGTTTTGTGGGCAAACTTCGGATGTACATCAGAGAAATTTGTGTTCAATTTGTTTTTCTTTGTAATTTTAGGAGCTCTGGTAGCATAGTGCCTAAAGCACTTGACTGCTAACCAGAAGGCTGCGGTTCAAACCCACCAGCCACTCCTTGGAAGTAAGGTTGGGCAATCTACTTCTGTAGTGATACTGTCTCGGAAACCCAAGGAGTGGTTGCTGTGAGTCGGGGCTGACTCGACGGCACATAACAACAACAACAACAACAACAAACATTACTAAA